TTGGGCTCCAACTTAGTAATAATAATATAAAACTTAAACCCTAAATCTATTAATGAGTATGTGTTACAACGTAGCCTTAACTTACCTATTCATTACATTACGGTCCTAGCTTACCTAAAATTACAAAACTCAAGAGCCCAATTCATTTAGCCAATCGGCGCCCACCCCACCACCTACGTAATGCCTTGGGCTCCAACATAATAATAATAATGTAAAACTTATATTAGCCTACATATCGATACACTTACAGCGTTTTAGTTTACATTACAAGATTGTTCCTAGAATTACATTATTGCCCTTAACTACCTATGAAATTAAATTACTCTCAACCTTAGTAATAATAAATTAGAACGTGTAATGAAAATAAAATTACGCTCAAATACTAACATATGTGTTTATGTATGTATTTGTGTGTGTGTAATACGCTGATGCGTGTAATGTTGGTGCAAGAAAAAATAGAAGAGATAAACTTACGCGCCTACCTATTCAACTACATTAGTGTTGGATGCTTCCTATCTATCCTACCTAAAAATTATGCCTATCTAACCTACCTATATAGCTACTTAATGTAATTGTGTGTGCGTGTGTGTGCGTGTAAGCATTCCTACTTAACGTTAAATTACAGAGAAAAAAGAATGAAACGTATCCCAGCCAGGCGTGTATTCTTTGCCACTGAATGAATGAACGTAGCCTGACATCTTCCATGATGAACTCCTCTGGAAGCTTCAACCTGAATGAAATGAATAAAATAAAAAAATCTTATTTATTTAATTAATTTAAATGAAAAAAGAGAAACGAGCCACGGTGAAAAGCCAACTGGCAAAAAAGGAACAGCAAAGAAACCGTAAAACTTACTCCAGCCAGGCGTGCATTCTTTGCAACTGAGTGAACGAACGTAGCGTGACATCACAACCATTCTGATCTTCCACGATGAACTCCTCTGGAAGCTTCAACCTGAATGAATGAACCTGAATGAACCTAAATGAATGGAAAAATCTTATTTATTTAATTAATTTGAACGAAAATAGAGAAACGCAAAGAAGCCGACCGGTCGGCAAACAAAAGAACCTCAAAGAAAGGTATATATATAACTCTATATAACTCTATATAACTCTATATAACTCTATATAACTCTATATAACTCTATATAACTCTATATAACTCTATATAACTCTATATAACTCTATATAACTCTATATAACTCTATATAACTCTATATAACTCTATATAACTCTATATAACTCTATATAACTCTATATAACTCTATATAACTCTATATAACTCTATATAACTCTATATAACTCTATATAACTCTATATAACTCTATATAACTCTATATAACTCTATATAACTCTATATAACTCTATATAACTCTATATAACTCTATATAACTCTATATAACTCTATATAACTCTATATAACTCTATATAACTCTATATAACTCTATATAACTCTATATAACTCTATATAACTCTATATAACTCTATATAACTCTATATAACTCTATATAACTCTATATAACTCTATATAACTCTATATAACTCTATATAACTCTATATAACTCTATATAACTCTATATAACTCTATATAACTCTATATAACTCTATATAACTCTATATAACTCTATATAACTCTATATAACTCTATATAACTCTATATAACTCTATATAACTCTGTATAACTCTATATAACTCTATATAACTCTATATAACTCTGTATAACTCTATATAACTCTATATAACTCTGTATAACTC